TTAAGGATATTTCCAGTGCTTTCTATTCCAATTTCCTGTCTGTTTTATTAGGGGACAGAAGGTTACATCTTATATTTTCACAGGACCTGATGGGTAAGACCTTTGGCTTCCGTAAGAGTCTTCAAAAGGCCCAGACCAGGTTGTGACTGGACCAAAATTTTCCACAGGATAATTCTTGGGTGCTTTTTTTGTGTATTTAACTCGATACTTGCAGCTTCTTTAGAAGTAAAGAATTATGAGTCCCAAAGAACTTGTCAGGGCAGTGCCTATGGTAGAAGCATGGAAGAGAGGACCAGATTCCCTGATTACAATTCTTGGGACACGCAGATTTTTAATTTTTTAAAATATATATATGTTTTCATCGATTTCAAAGAGAGGAAGGGAGAGGGAGATAAAAACATCGATGATGAGAGTCATCAATCAGCTGCCTCCTGCACGCCCTCTACTGGGGATCAAACCCACAACCCAGGCATGTGCCCTGACGGGGAATTGAACGTGACCTGGTTCATAGGTCGTTGCTCAACTGCTGAGCCACGCCAGGCAGGCCCAGATTTTTAACTTTTGAAATGGAAATCCGGCATCATGAATCTCAACCAGACAAATGAGCACAGTTCTTAAGACTTTTTTACTTGATTTGCAGCAATTTTGCTTTTGCCAGTTTTTGTCATTTGTCCTTGAATACCCATGAGGCTGCAGCCTAGGACATGTTCTTCGGACTCGCCACAGCGATCTTTCTGCAGGTGAGATTTCCGGCTTCGTTTGCTTCACAGGCACATCAGGAAGACTGGCAGTAAAGCTCAACAAGGGAGCAGGGAGGGCATGCTTCTGTACCCAGCGTATTTGCCTGTAAGAACTGTTGAGCAGCCCTCATTTTGTCAGACGAGAATGGTCGTAAGCACTGGTGCTGCGTGGGCGGGTTTTGTTACTCCCAGGGAGTAACAGTAGTAAGTCATGTTTGTAAAGTATTCAATCTTTCTTCAGTAGGCATTTGGGCATCGTGCTGTGAGCTATGGTTGCCATCGAGATGGTAATGACTGTCCCTTTCCTCAGAGAGCCCGTAGTCCTAGCAAGAGGAAGCTGTGTGTGAAGGACCAAATGCCTCGGGAACCACGTAAGCGCACTGCAGTGGAAATAAGGCCCAGGAAAGAGCCATGGGGCCGGCAGGGGAGAGGCAGGCAGGACCCGTACTGGAGAAGCCCTTGACCCAGGCTTGACATGTGGTGTGTGTAGAACCCCTGACTCTAGAAATGCAGAGCCTCCTGGGCCTGTGCTCTGTTGTCAGTACCTGGGTCACCAGAAATGTCCCTTCAAGGGTTTCCTGTGGTTCTGGCCAGTTGTGCCCTGTCTTTGGAGAGGACACTCAGTCTGCTGTGATGCCTCAGTGGCTCTGTGGAGAGATGTTAAACAAAGGAACCACTGGCATATAGACAAGCTGTGAAACATTCATTTTATGTTTTCAGAGTTTGCTTTTTACATGCCAAGTTTATGTGGAGATAGACTTGATTTTTACCCAAAGATTGTTTGCAAGGCTGATGGTGTTTTCTGTCTGCCTTCAGCAGGGTGGGAGCAATGTCTATTGCTAAGTTAAGTCCCATTCAGATGACAGTGAAGATGTTGGGTGCCCATTTTCTCTTAGAAAGACTGTTAAAATGCAGAATTTGATTGAGTAGATTTGGGGACTGAGATTCTGCATTTCAAACAAGCACCTGTGCTGGTGCCCGGTACCCGGGTCCTTGGACCACATTGGAGTAGCGCAGACAGGGTTTGCTGCCTGTAGTTTTCACAAGCGCCTTTGGATGTGCCCATCCATGAGATTTGCTCCCGGAGTTCAGCCAATAACCTCCAAGCTCTGAGAATGAATTGTTAGCAATTTATTGAAACTAGAGGTTGTCTCAAAACTGGTGTTTGGATTCATTGTTTCTTTTTCTTTTTAATTTGGATTCACTGTTTCTATGTGGGACCGACTCTGGTGGAAAAAAAAAATGTTTAGCTCTACTTTTTTTAGAAAAGGAAATGTCTTACTGAGCTCAAGTTGCTTATCCCAGAATTTTCCAGCTACCTACTTTATTTACCATGAAATGCTAAATTCAAATAAAAGTATCCCAGAAGTTAGCAGCTAACTCTACATGAAAGTTACAGTAAAGAGAGAATTACTCCAGTCTTAAAATTTTAATTTTTAAAAGAAACTAGTGTTAACTTGAGTAATTTTATCACCAAAAATTCACCTATAAACTTCACTACTATAAATAAAGCCATCCAGGCTTCCTGTGTACACCATCCAGAGCCTTGTCCAGGGTGAGGCATAAGTAGTAGTAAAAGTTAACGTGTAACTGAATTAGTCCATTAACCCTCACAGCATCCCTATAAAGTGACTTTTATCCCCACTTTATAGGTGGGGAAACTGAGGCACAGGACAGTTAAGGAACACCCAAGGTCACACATAGAAAATGGTAGGGTAGAGGCCATTCACACCAATACTAGATTAACCACCAATACTAGATTGCCATTCACACTCAAACAGCATTTACTGAATGAGTTAATGTTTTACGTTTTGGACTGAGTATATAATAGTATGTTCCTTGGTAAGTGTTCCCTCAAGAGTTTCATGAGCTGGACTGGACATAATGTGGCACTTGTGGACTGGCCACTGCTCTCTGGAAGGTTTGGGTTCAATTTTGAGATCACTGAGCAGCTCAGAGATACAATATACTTAGATAACAGTATTTTACAGTCTAACTCCCGTATCCTAACCAAGGCGCTTGCCTGATTTCCCTAGCTCAGTGCGTGAAAGGAGCAGGCCTGGTGAGCTGCTGAGGAAGGAGCAGAGACTGGGATGAACAGGTGAGTCAGCTGGCCTGTGACATCAGTGAGACTGGCGCTAGGATTCACTTTCCTGTCCCGAGGGCCCAACCTCAGAGCCAAGTCTCATGGCCCCTCGACAGCAGTTTCTTCCTAGGACAAGGTGGCTCTTAGGCCAGTGACTTCAGTAAGTCAGGTGACAGAAAAGTGCATTGAGCTCTTCTGAAATCTGGCAGCCTGGCAGCATGCACGTGAAGGGGGAAGGGAGCCAGGAAAAGGTCTTTAGCCAGTGGTGTCAGAAGCTGGTCACGGTCGGTCCCAGGTGCTCAAAAATTGCAAACATAGCCAAGAAAGTGCGCACAGTACTTCTTTTAAATAAGAGATGATTACAGGGACATAAGACCTTACGGTTTTCCCATGACTGGGAGTTTCCCAAACCCCCATCTCCAGGCGGGGAGCCCACGGCTTCTTGCTTTCGGTGCCGGTGACGTGCTGCCACGTGTCCCCTCCCTTCGCTCGGAGGAGCCAGGCCCCGTGTCCCCTCGGCCGCGCCTCCGCGCAGCTGACCCCGCCGCCGACCCGGGCCGGGCTCAGCGGGCTGCCCGGCTCCTCTGCCCGGTGGGCGGGACGCCGATCCTCAGCCCCCGGGAGGGCACAGAGGGTGCCCGTATTTGGTAGGCCTCGGAGGGGCCGCCGGAGCCCGAAATAGCGGGGTGATGACAGCGGCCATTTCGAGACCTGACTTCACCGTCGCGCCCACGATCAGCCCGGAACCGAGCGCAGCCTGGGAGCCGCCTGTCGGGAGGGTGGCGCCAGCGCTCGGTTTCGGTTCCGGGCTCCGCCGGGCACCGGGTCACGTGCGGCTTCGGTTTCCGTGGCAACGCCAATCCCCGCGACCCCGTTGGGGCCTCGGAAGCGGGCGCGTCCCCGCGGGTGCGGACATGCCTCGCGCGCGGCGCCCGCTCTGCCTCTGGGTCCTG